TTAAAAAATTTAACAACCACTCTTGAGATTGGTTACAAATTGTAAACACAAAAAATGTAGTGTGTTATGGAATGGTTGATATCCATTCACATAGAGAATGTGAATGCAAAAAAAACTCAATCATGTATGATTTTACGTTTATGTGAATGCAATCTGTCATTATCATTCAGTACTAATACTATTTGTTGTATCAGGGTTGAGATTTTTGTACTCAAAACGTGAAACCAGAAGATTGCCATCTCCCTTAAAATTAGTAAACAAATAAATATTTGGTGCTAAAATATTTTTCTAAGTGTTTGGCCGAGCTTCTCCTCAAACTTGAGTCATGAGTTCTGTTGTTGTGGCACAAATGGAGACACCTATGTACATATTTAAGGCTCACTCCGAACACCAAATGATTTTATAAGAATAGTTTTCAAAGCAGAAATATACTCGAAGGTTTGCCATTGCATGCCAAAGGACGACTGCTATTTTGGAGTATGATCTGACCAGGGGTCTAACCATGGTCCTATGGAGTGGAAGTACGCACATGTAATCACTCTGCTACGGCGGCCGCCGTAAGTACATGCTATACATATCGTCGTTTAAAGTACTAAACCGCGTATCAAGAAAATGCAAAATCGTGTAATTGCATAAATTATTTTCTAGAGAGTAAAATCACCTATATTTCAAAATGGTTCTCTTTTTTATAAAGCAAACGTATTTCTGGCTAGTATATTTCAGGACGAATGGATAAGAATTGAGCCAAGAGCTTTTGTGAGCAAATCCAATTTTTGGCAGCAAATGTCAGTTACGCGGTTTTGCAGAATGACGATACGCGGTTTTGTACTTTAAACGACGATATGTATGTACACATATCAGATTATTTGTTCTCAAAATGCATGAAAACTATAGTATGCTTGCAAACAATTAATAACATTTTATGATAAACAGTTTTAAATTTAAGTTTTAATAAAGTATTAATTAAATAAATTATTACTGTAAATTATTATTATAATAAATAGATATACAAATATTAATACTTGGCAACTCTTAGACTTTTCTTCATTTGTAACAAATGACAGATGAAAACAAAATAAAAAAATAATTGTAATTTTACAAATTTAAAGCAAACGGGCGATTTTTATAAAAAAATTTAGTTAGGGATCGAATTATGCATATTTTTTTTCTAATATCAAGTGCCCCCAAGAAGCGTTAAACCACTAAATAGCTCAGAAAACGCTTTAAAAAATTCGAAACGAGAGTGAAGTGCAGTGTTCAATTGTGATCGAAATTGCAGGCAAAATTTGTGCGTGTGTAATTAATGTTTTACTTATTTGAAGAAATGTTGCCCCTTGTCATTAAAAATAAGCAAACCAAGACCCCCCCTCCCACTGGTGGTTACATAATACTTGAACAGCCCCTTTAATAACATGTGCTTGTTTTTAACAGTTTCCAGTTTATGTAATATTAATCAAAACAGATTTATATTTTTTTTATTTATTTTATTTCTAACCAATACACCACAGCGATCGTTTAATTAATTTTAATCATTAATCGCGATTTACCATTTATTCGTTAATTTCTAATCATTCATAGACTAACATTTTGTCGACAATACTCGCATAAGATAGTCCCAAATTTTCACAAAAGGGAAAAGTGATTATCTTCAAAACTTTTTAATGACGCCTTGACTGAACTCACTAGTTCGGAATTTCTACTATTACTTATAGATTAGGCTATAAACTAAGTCTGGGTAATGAAATAAAAAAATTTATATTATATGTTCCATATATATTGAAATGTATCAGGTGGCAAAATAACAAAATAAAACGCGGCCGTCGGTCTCGGTGTCCAAAATCGAATGTCTTCTTTATTGTTCTTGAAAATGGCGCATAGCATTTTACAAACAACGGGTCTTACTCGCTAAAATACAACTAGTCTTAAGGTCTAGTTACTTAGCCTACTTATGGTCTAATCACAAGCACATGTGTATACCTAAAGCCCTATTCACACACGCGTACGTGCCTACGGTCCTACAACTCGGCCGTCCTGACATATAGAATCTCCTGATTCTATGACGATAAGTTTATACAGTGTTACGTTCATGCGCAACTAACTTTAACATTTTATAGTTTTGTCGTGACTTTGGTTTTCTTATGATCGTACCACGGTTTTAAGTTCGTAACTGACCAAATGCCTTTGTAAGGTATCTGTGTCTGTTGAAACCCTTCTACGTCTTCGACAGCGTAGCGGTCGTTTTCTAAAATTTTTGATATTCTATATGGTCCCTTGAATTTGGGTATTAACTTGCTGGACGCTCCTATTTGTGAGCTGACATTGGAAACCACTACGTAGTCGCCAACTCTGAACTCTCGTGGCTCTTGTCGCTTGGCGTCTGAATACTTCTTATTATAACTTTGCGCTTTTCTTTGAACTGCCTCCGCTTGCTCTCTAACTTTTTCTATTGCTACTGGGCTTGACGACTGCACTGTTTCTAACACATTTTGTCTGAGACTGTTTATAACTTTACCTTTTTGTGCTACTCCGAACAGTAATACACTAGGTTGCTCTTTTGTTGCTTTGTGCACCGTGTTGTTCATCGCATGCTCTACTGATTCTAACACTTTGTCCCACCCTATCTCTTTCTCGGAATCTACCATCTTTGCAATCATCGGGCCTAAGCTTTTGTTAACGATCTCGGCTTGGCCGTTTGCCTGGGGTGAACTTGTCGCAACTTTGATGTGCTCAACGTTGTTGTTTACTAAAAATTCCTCAAATTCGTTTGAAGTAAAGCTTGTCCCTCTGTCTGACACTATGAACTTTGGTCTACTGTACGCTCTAAAGTAGTCCTTTAACGCTATAACTGCTTCTTTTGACGCTGTCGTTTTCGCGGGGTAGAGGCGGACAAATTTCGTGAAGGCATCTATTATTACTAAAATGTGCTTATACTTTGTAGACTTGCTATGGATCGGTCCGTAGTGGTCAACGTGTACCATTTCGAACGGTTTGTTTCCCTTCGGTATCATGTGCAGAAGTCCCTCTTTTCTACCACTTTTGCTGGAAAATGCTATACATTTTAGGCAGTTCTCTATGTGGGCCACTGCTTTCTTTCTGACACTTGGGAACCAATAGCTCTTTCCTATGGATTCCACAACTTTCTCTACACCTAAATGCCCCATTTCGTTGTGGTACTTATACAAAACGTGGTTTTCCATGGACTCTGGTACGTAAAAAAGTAGATTTCTACCCTTCCTGTATACTATTCCGTTTCTCATTTCATAGTGACTATTCTCGCTAACTTCTAACTCCTTTTTTATTTTCCCTACTTTCTCGTCTCTACTTTGGCATATGATGAGATTTTCTTCAAAAGTATTCGTGTGAACTACCAGTATATTATTTATTCTACTTAGTGCATCTACGTGTTGCATTCTTTTACCGGCTCTATGTTCAAGTTCATAATCGTAGTTTTGCAGTTCCAATGCCCACCTCGCTATTCTTGGGCTCATGTCTTTCTTATTAAGCGTCAAGGTCAGCGAGTTGCAGTCGGTTATAATCTTGAACTTTATGCCTTGCAAATATATTCTAAATCTTTTTAATGCGTAGACAATCGCTAGAGTTTCTAACTCGAAACTGTGGTATTTAGATTCGGTGTCCGTTGTACGTTTTGAAAAATAAAACACTGGGTATAGCTTCCCGTCTTTCTTCTTTTGCAGTAATATCGCCCCAAACCCTAAAGCACTTGCGTCACAGTGTAACTCTGTTGCGTCATTTGGGTCATAGATTGCCAACAGTGGTGACGCCTTCAATTTTGTTTTAAGACTGTTGAAAGATTCTAACTCTACTTTGCCAAACTGAAATTTTGTGTCTTTTTTCGTAAGGTCGTGGAGGGGCTTGGCTATAGTCGAAAAATCCTTAATAAATCTTCGGAAATATGAGCATAAGCCTAAAAAGCTTTGAACTTCGACGACTTTAGTCGGAACGGCAAAGTTTTCTATTGCGTTCAGCCCCTTCTCGTCCGCCTGTATACCTTCACCAGTAATAACATAGCCTAAATATGACACCTTCGACTGCAAAAACTCACACTTATCTAAACGCAGCTGTAAGTTATTCTGTACAATTTTTAATAATACTTTTTCTAATATTTCGATATGTTCTTTGATGCTCTCTGTTGCTATCATGATATCGTCGAGATAAACTATAACCTCGCCCTTGCGAATCATCTCTGAAAAAATTTTATTAATAAACTTTTGGAATGTTGCCGGTGCATTTTTCAATCCGAACGGCATTCTCAAAAACTCATATTGCCCTAAAGGTGTAGTAAACGACGTATACTTTATCGAGTCTTCGCTCATAAAAACGTGAAAAAACCCGTTCTTTAGATCCAGCTTTGTGAAAAATTTCTTGTTCGCTAACCTGTCTAACAAATCGTCAATAAATGGCATCGGATAACTATCTTTTGCCGTAACTTTGTTTAATTTCCTGTAGTCGACGCACAAACGAAGTTCACCCGTTTTCTTTTTAACTAACACTATGGGTGACACAAACTCTGACTCACTAGGGCGTATGTAACCTTTTTGTAAGTATTCGTCGATTATATTCTGCAACTCTATCTTTTCTTTGTACGAAAGTCTTCTTGGAGCACATGCGAATGGACTACTTTTTTCTAACACAAGTTTCATTTCTTTTCTGACCATTGGCTTGTCATGCTTCTTTGAGTTTACGTAAATTCTTCTGAAAATCTCCTGAAAAAGTATTTTATCATCGTAGTTGACTTCATCGCCCACTTTGAGGTCCATAGCTGCTTTTTCGCACACTTCTATTGCCATAATTTCGTTTATGGCCTCATTAACCTCACAATCTTCGACCGCATAATTGGCGTTGCTCATGTTTTCGCACGTGCTCTTCCTTGTTGTACCTAAATTAAAAATTTTCTCAACTTTGTCTACTTTCTCAACTTCGTCCACCTTCTCAACTTCGCCCACTTTCTCAACTTCGTCCACTTTCTCAACTTCGTCCACATTGTTCACACCATTAGCTGCCTCTACTTGTACTACCCTATCCATAAACTCAACATTTCCGATTTTTAACTTAGCGTTACTTGCCTCAATAAAATCTCTACCCAGTAGCACCGAATAACCAATACACCCATTAGGAACCACTAAGAATTCAACTAAAACGTCTTTATTCAAAACTTTGACGATACATTTAACTTTTCCAAGTATATTCAAAACTGATTTATTTAAACCGTAGTACGAATCATTTACTTCATCGAAATTCACTCCTGACGGTACCACAACTTCTTTTATTAAGCTAACTGGGCTGCCTGAATCAACTAGACATTCTATAAACATACAAGTATTAACATGTGCTACATACAATCTAAAATAACTTACGAAAGTATTCTTCTCCCTCTTGTACTGCTTGCAGTCTGTTGCGTAGTGACCCTTCTCTCCACATGCGTAGCACGATCCGGCTTCCCGCTTAGGCTTTCTGCAATTTTTGGCATAGTGGCCGGAACAGTTGCAATTGTAGCATCTGAAGCGTTCATCGGAGCGTGGTTTTGCTGCCGGACGTTCTGGCAACGTGACTGATCTGAACGCCCTGACGACTTCGTTTGCCGACGCAAAACTGTGTAGCCTTGCTCGTGTACGTAGCTGCCGGTCTGGTATTCCTTCGATGAGGTAGTCGGCGAACTCTTCATCGCTAAGGCTCAAGTCGCTGCTCAATGTGCGTTTGTCGTTATAGTAGCTGATGAAGCTTTCTTCAGGCACCCACATCCGCTTTTCGAACTTACGCCGGCGTTCGAGTTTTCTCTCGTTTGATGTAAAAACTGTCTTCATATCACGTAGCAGCTCGGCTGCGCTCTTATGGAACGTTGATTTCGCGTTGTACCACGCTAAAGCGGCGCCCTTTAAATTTAAGTGTACGGCTACACACAGCATCGCATCGTTGGCTTTAAAAATTTCGCGATAGTGCATCACCTGGTTATACCACGCACTAAAACCATCGCCGCCATCGTAGGTTGGTATAACCTCCTTCTGCTTTAGTCCTGCTCGCCATTGGCCTGTTCTGCTCCCATTGTGCCTGCTGGAGTTTAAGCAGTTTTATTTCCTTCTCAAGCAGTTCAATTTTCCGGGCGTCGCCGTCGTCACGAATAGCGGTTAACTGCCCTGCTGTACGGTTACTTGTGCCGCTATTTTCTTCGGCGTCTCTAACTGGACGACTTCCGAAAGCACCGTTACGGACGTACGCTACGCCGCTCTGCACATATACAGGGTCGTCGTTATCGATCACCATTACATTACCGCACCGTTGTGCACTTTTGCTCCTCAATACTCTGCCGTTGTTCTCGTCGTTGCTTCTGCCGTTGCTCACACCGTTGCCGTTCAAGTTGTCCTCTACGTTGTCCTCCACGTTGTCCTCTCCGTTGCTCTCGCCGTTGTCTTCACCGTCGTCTTCGCTTTGAATACATTGCTCGGTGGTCTTTGCGTCATACCGTTGCTCACCCGCTTTGTCATTGCCTGGGCATAATCCTCGAGCTTCGGCGGAAAGCTCGCTCAGCCTAGCCGCTAACGACGCCTTTGCGCCGCTCGCATTGATGCCTACGGCCGTGCACCAAGTTTTTAATTGCAATAGCGAGTATTTTTCCGCGTTCACAGCTTCGCGATTCATCGTAAAATTATTTGCTTTCCGCGCTACTTTGATATTCGAAAACTAACTTTTACTTTAATTTGGTTCTAAGACCACTTCTGATGAAATGTATCAGGTGGCAAAATAACAAAATAAAACGCGGCCGTCGGTCTCGGTGTCCAAAATCGAATGTCTTCTTTATTGTTCTTGAAAATGGCGCATAGCATTTTACAAACAACGGGTCTTACTCGCTAAAATACAACTAGTCTTAAGGTCTAGTTACTTAGCCTACTTATGGTCTAATCACAAGCACATGAAAATTTTAATAGATATCGGATGTACGGCAATTTTCTAAAAAGATTTCTTAATCTCTTTCATGAAAATTATTCCAAACAAAAACTTAAAATTGATAAAAAAATCTTAACTAACTGTAAATGTGAAATCAGTTGCTATGTGTTTCCATGATACAAAAAACCACCTGACAATTAAGCAGATTTGAAAATTTCATGCTACCATACGCAGTATCTAAAATCCTTCAAATTTTATTATTAATTTTTCGTTTGTTTAAAAACATTTTATTCTTAGAATCGAAATTTTACCAAGCAAATTGTCTTGTTTTTAAATAAATGAGACTAATGCTCAATAAGTTGATAATTGTTGTTCTCATTTGCATACTTCACTCCAACTCCAATTTTGAACAGTGAAATATATTTTAATTTTACCCAAATAAATATTCCACGCCTATTTGATGTGCCACGCCCCCTTTTACAAACACGTTTATATATACAGTCGTATAAGGACCTACCATTGATATGTCTGCTTACCAAATTTCCAGTTCGTGTGACTTATGGTTCCGAAGTTATAGCTGATAAAACATTCCACGCCTATGGGATGTGCCATGCCCCCTTTTACAAACACGTTTATATATACCCTCGTATAAGCACCTTCCATTGATATGTCTTCATACGAAATTTCAAGTTTTTGAGACTTATGGTTCCGAAGTTATAGCTGATAAAAATTCCGCGCCTATGGGGTGTACCACGCCCACTTTTGCAAACTCCTTTATAAATACCCTCCTATACGCACCTACCATTGGTATGTCTGCGTACCAAATTTCAAGTTCGTGGGACCTATGGTTCCGAAGTTATAGCTGATAAAAAATTCCACGCCTATGGGAAGTGCCACGCCCCCTTTTACAAACTCGTTTATACATTCCCTCCTATAAGCACCTAACATTGATATGTCTGCATACCAAATCTCAAGTTCGTGGAACTTATGGGTCCGAAGTTATAGCTGATATAATATTCCACGTCTATGGGATGTGCCACGCCCCTTTTTACAAACTCGTTTATATATACGCTCGTATAAGCACCTACCAGTGATATGTCTGCATGCCAGATTTATAGTTCGTGGGACTTATGGTTCCGAAGCTGTGATTTGTGGGTCCGAATTTATAGCTGATAAAAAAATTCCACGCCTATGGGATATGCCACGCCCCCTTTAACAAACTGGTTTATATATACGCTGGTATAATCACCTACCATTGATATGTCTACATACCAAATTTCAAGTTCGTGTGACTTATGGTTCCGAAGTTATAGCTGATACCAAATTTCAAGTTCGTGGGACCTATGGTTCCGAAGATATAGCTGATAAAAAATTCCACGCCTATGGGATGTGCCACGCCCCCTTTTACAAACTCGTTTATACATTCCTTCCTATAAGCACCTACCATTGATATGTCTGCATACCAAATTTCAAGTTTTTGAGACTTATGGTTCCGAAGCTATAGCCGATAAAAATTCCGCGCCCATGGGGTGTACCACGCCCACTTTTGCAAAATCCTTTATAAATACCCTCCTATAAGCACCTACCATTGATATGTCTGCACACCAAATTTCAAGTTCTTGTGACTTATGGTTCCGAAGTTATAGCTGATAAAACATTCCACGCCTATGGGATGTGCGACGCCCCCTTTTACAAACACGTTTATATATACCCTCGTATAAGCACCTACCATTGATATGTCTTCATACGAAATTTCAAGTTTTTGAGACTTATGGTTCCGAAGATATAGCTGATAAAAAATTCCACGTTTATGGGGTGTGCCACGCCCCCTTTTACAAACTCGTTTATACATTCCCTCCTATAAGCACCTACCATTGATATGTCTGCATACCAAATTTCAAGTTTTTGAGACTTATGGTTCCGAAGTTATAGCTGATAAAAATTCAGCGCCTATGGGGTGTACCACGCCCACTTTTGCAAACTCCTTTATAAATACCCTCCTATAAGCACCTACCATTGGTATGTCTGCGTACCAAATTTCAAGTTCGTGGGACCTATGGTTCCGAAGTTATAGCTGATAAAAAATTCCGCGCCTATGGGATGTGCCACGCTCCGTTTTACAAACTTGTTTATACATTCTCTCCTATAAGCACCTAACATTGATATGTCTGCATACCAAATTTCAAGTTCGTGGAACTTATGCGTCCGAAGTTATAGCTGATATAATATTCCACGCCTATGGGATGTGCCACGCCCCTTTGTACAAACTCGTTTATATATACCCTCGTATAAGCACCTACCAGTGATATGTCTGCATGCCAAATTTATAGTTCGTGGGACTTATGGTTCCGAAGCTGTGATTTGTGGTTCCGAATTTATAGCTGATAAAAAAATTCCACGCCTATGGGATATGCCACGCCCCCTTTAACAAACTGGTTTATAAATACCCTGGTATAATCACCTACCATTGATATGTCTACATACCAAATTTCAAGTTCGTGTGACTTATGGTTCCGAAGTTATAGCTGATACCAAATTTCAAGTTCGAGGGACCTGTGGTTCCGAAGATATAGCTGATAAAAAATTCCACGCCTACGGGATGTGCCACGCCCCCTTTTACGAACTCGTTTATACATCCCCTTCTATAAGTACCTAACATTGATATGTCTGCATACCAAATTTCAAGTTCGTGGGACTTATGGTTCCGAAGTTATAGCTGATAAAAAATTCCGCGCCTATGGGATGTTCCACGCCCCGTTTTACAAACTTGTTTATACATTCTCTCCTATAAGCACGTAACATTGATATGTCTGCATACCAAATTTCAAGTTCGTGGAACTTATGGGTCCGAAGTTATAGCTGATATAATATTCCACGCCTATGGGATGTGCCACGCCCATTTTTACAAACTCGTTTATATATACCCTCGTATAAGCACCTACCAGTGATATGTCTGCATGCCAAATTTATAGTTCGTGGGACTTATGGTTCCGAAGCTATGACTGAAAAAAAAATTCCACGCGTATGGGCTGTGCCACACACCCTTTCTCAACCTCATTTATATATGCCCCCATATAAGCACCTACCATTGGTATGTCTGTATACCAAATTTCAAGTTCGTGGAACTTATGGTTCCGAAGTTATAGCTGATAAAAAATTCCGCGCCTATGGGATGTGCCACGCCCCCTTTTACAAACACGTTTATATATACATTCGTATAAGCACCTACCATTGATTTTTCTGCATACCAAATTTCAAGCTCGTGAGACTTATTGTTCCGAAGTTATAGCTGATAAAACATTCCGCGCCTATGGGATGTGCCACGCCCCCTTTTACAAACACGTTTACATATACATTCGTATAAGCACCTAGTATTGATTTTTCTGCATACCAAATTTCAAGTTCGTGGAACTTATGGTTCCGAAGTTATAGCTGATAAAATATTCCACGCCTATGGGATGTGCCACGCCCCCTTTTACAAACTCGTTTATATATACCCTCCTATAAGCACCTACCATTTGTATGTCTGCATACCAAATTTCAAGTTCATGTGACTTATGGTCTGGAAGTTATGGCTGATTAAATTTTTCACGCCTATGGGAGGTGCCACGCCCCCTTGTCGGATCCCAATTTTTTTCACCCTATTATAGGCCTAGGTGTCATGGCAATACTCTGTACAAATTTTGTTCAATTCTGTCCGTCCGTTTAGACTGCAATCTGGCACATACTTACATACATACATACTTTCACAAATATATAGTAGATATATAATACAACATGTCCTATTACCGAAGTCATGAGGAAAAGAGAAAATAAGTATATGCACCATGTGGAAGAAAAATACTGTTGGGAAAAAATTAAGTCGAATTTGTTAAACCTGCAATAAAATGAATA